AGTTACAATCCTTTTTGACAGTAGTAACATAACCATTTGTTATTCAAATACATTTTATACATTCCTATTTATTCCTATATCTATACATCTATGTTTCTAAGCTATATGTTTCATGTTCCTATTATTTATTCATTGATACCAGTTTTCCCAAACTGTATAATATTCTGAGTCTTTCTTGTCCCTTAACTCCAATGTGAATTTATCCATCTCTGCGCAATCAAGAATCTTTTGGATTATCAGTCTATTGGCATGGTATCACTTTAACAGATTTAACAGATTAACAGAGTTGGAATGGACCTTATAGGTCATTTAGTCCAACACCCTGCTCAAGTAGGAGACCGTAAACCATTTCTGACAAATGGCAATCCAATCTCTTCCTGAAAACCTCCAGTGATGAAGCTCCCACAACATCCGAAGTGAACTTCTGTTCCATTTGGTTGATTGTTCTCACTGTCAGAAAGTTCCTCCTTATTTCTAGGTTGAATCTCTCCTTGGTCAGTTTCCATCCATTATTCCTTGTCTGGCCTTCAGGTGCCTTGGAAAATAGCTTGACCCCCTCCTCTCTGTGGCAGCCTTCAAATATTGGAACACTGCTATCATGTCTCCCCTGGTCCTTCTCTTCAGTAGACTAATCATGGCTTTATGTTTATATATGAATTATTAATTGTAATAATAAAGATTGCAATAATAAAGTATATGCTATATTATTCTCTCTCTCCCCCTTATCTCCCTCTTTCTCCTTGCTCTCTCTCTCTCTCTCTCTCTTTCTCTCTCTCTCTTTCTCTCTTGTGTTAATCATATGCATACCAAGAAATAATAGAAACATCTGGCAGAGCAACCATGCATGAATGAAGTCTTAGAACATTCTAAAGACAAAATGTTAGATTTTAAATATATAATACAAAATAAAGAAATAATCTTATGCAGTAATTCTAGTTTTATATTTACTCATCTTGTCAAAGTTAACCAATATCCACTCTTTCAATACTGGACTTCCCAAGAGATCCCTGGAGATTCCGTCTGTTGTTCTGAGGCTGGTGGGAATGAGTCCCATTTTCTCTTCTTAATGTCTCTGGTTTCTTTTTTCTTTTTTTTAAATACAACCTGTTTTTCTCTCCAAGGGAAATGCATGGGATAGCTCAGTAGAAACTCTAAGCCATATGTTACTATGCTGCTCCCTGTACAGTGCACATAAAAAGTGTGCACACCTGTTTAAATACCAGGCTTTTGAGATGTGAAAAACTCAGAGAAATCACTTGAGATTTTTTTCCCATCTTTAATATAATGGGTAAGCTGTACAATTCAGTTGAGAAACAAACTGAAATCTTTTTGCACTTAGCAGTATCACTTAGACTTATATAATGCTTTACAGCCCGCTAAGCAGTTTTACAGAGTCAGCATATTCCCCCAACAACCTAGGTCCTCTTTTTCCCCACCTCGGAAGGCTGGAAGGCTAAGTCAACCTTGAGCCTAATGAGATTCGAACTGCCAAGTTGCAGGTAGCTGGCAGGCAGCAGAAGTAGCCTGCAATACTGCACTCTTACCACTGCACCACCAAGGCTCTTTTAGTGGGAAAAATAACAACAAAAACCTTGATAAAGTGTTTTGCAGGCCAAAACAACTGTCAAAGGGACATTTTTCCCATCGTGTCATCAATCTGCACCAAGAGCTTCTGCATTGGAGACAGATTTTTTGTGTGTCTAATCACACTTGGCCAAATAAAGTATTGTATTCTGGCTATGAGAAAGTGAGGGAACTGGAAACCAAGTCCCATGGAAATTATTAAATGGATCAGGTATACGTAGCCTGGAGAACAGAAGACTGAGGAGAGAGATGAGCAAACTTCCGATGTCCTACTATGGGTTGTCATGTAAAAAAGGAAGTGACGTTGTTGTTTTTAGAGAGAACCAAATGTCTGAAATACTTTCCACAGATCCAGCATTAAACAAGAGTTGGAATTTCTGAGGTCTAAGAAACTAAGAAAGATTCTATAATTTTGTTAATTATAATTTAACTGATAGCAGTGTAAGAACTGCCCTTTGTCTAAAATTGTCAGTAGAACTTGATTTGAACTGCTTGGTTAGAAGAACTAGATAGAAAATTAAAAGGCCTTTTTTTCTCTGATACTGACTGTATGGTATTTACATACTGTTTGCATGTTTGTAAAATGCATAAAAACAAATAGAACCTGCATATTTTAATTTGTTAAATAATAATTATTCATTTTTCTAATCTGTAGAAACTAAAATAGTTGTTTTGCATTTTTCATTCTTAGGTGCGGTGGATGATGTATTGGATTGTATTTGCTCTTTATACATTTACTGAAACAGTAACGGACCTCTTGATATCTTGGTAAGATCTGTACATTTGCGAAGCATGATGTTTTTGGCCTCCCGAAACCCCACCGCGTGCATCCCATTTTTAGCAAACAATGAGGTGTGCAGAGGGTTAGGGAGGCCCATTTTCCGCCTCCCAAATCCCTCATGCATCATGTTTTTGCCCTCCCTGGCCCCCAGGAGCACTTTGCAAGCCTCCCAAACTCTCTGCATGGCCCATTTTTCACCAAAAACAGTGCGTGCAGAGGGTTTGGGAGATCTGCAGACTGCTCCTAAGGGCCAGGGAGGGCAAAAACTTTTTTTAAAAAAATTACCTCTTCAAAATCTTGGTGCGTCTTATACGCCAGTGCATCTTATAGTCTGAAAAATATGGTATGTGAAAAATCACCTAAAAATAGTTCCCCTGAAACTCAGGTTAATTAGAAGGAATGTGCCTCTTTCCTTTGTATCATACAACCATATTATGAATTCTAACTTATATTTTACAGGTTTCCACTATATTATGAACTGAAGATTGCTTTTGTTGTTTGGTTGCTGTCTCCATATACAAGAGGGGCAAGTTTAATATATAGAAAGTTTCTTCATCCTCTTCTTTCTTCAAAAGAAAGGGTAAGCTGTCTCTCCTGCTGTGGAGCAAATATTTAGTTTGATATTTTAGAAAATAAATTTGCATTAAGATGTAGTGGGGATGAAGAATGACATTACTACAGGTTGCACATTTTATTATCACTGGTTTGCCGGGTGCGCATGCGCCTTCCCATGCATGCGCCCGGCGTTCGGTGTATGTGCTTTGCTCATGCGTGCACCTTTCGCACATACGTCTGGCCTCAAAAACGTGCCTAAATAGGATGGCATAGAGCTGGGGCAGGTGGGCAGGCCCATCTGCGATTTCCACTATCAGTTCAGGCGAATCGGTCTGAACTGGCTGAATATCCCTCTACATTACTATCTTGTGCTTTGTGCCAAGATATGAATGTTATATATTGCCAATAACAGATTAAATTAATACCTGTACTACATATATTTTTCTTCCTAGGAGATTGATGAGTACATTGTGCAAGCCAAAGAACGTGGTTATGAAACAATGGTGAACTTTGGTAAACAAGGCTTAAACTTAGCTGCCACTGCTGCAGTGACTGCCGCTGTAAAGGTAAACAGTACTGCATGTTAAGTATTTACCATGTAGCATAAAATGGGTGAGTGGGGATGTGTGTACACTAAAGGTATAAGGTGAAGAGCTGGATAACCTTTTTCTAAACAGCGTATTCTGAAAAGTATGTTCTCTCAAATAAGAGTTGACTTTTTAAACAGTGAAGATGACTCTTTTTTCTCTCTTGTTGCTTTTCTTGGTGGTAAATCACATTCCACAGGATTTCTGACTTCTTTCTGCTGTCCTTCAATCAAGTTGAGGTAAATGTTCATGGAAGATTAAAGCATGAAACAGTGATCAGTATGGTTGGCTAGGATGTTAATATGGTTCCCTGATCAATTCAAATTTGTAAGGAAAAAAAATTGATGAACTTGAATTTAACTGCTGATGCTTACTGCTGTCTGATACTAATAGACAGCCAAATTGGGCTTTTCACATGGATTCAGGCATGTTCCTAATTATCTGTAATTTGCCTAAAATACCAGGTATCTCCACTTTTACATTCTAATAAAATATAAAATAACAAATAAAATGTGTGAAAAAGAAAAAAATAACTTCATCTGAAGTATAAACAATTTTAGTAACTTATCACTCTCTCTTAAAATATAACACATTCTCTTTTTACCCCATGTTTCAGCTCTTAGCTAAAAACAAATTCCAAAATCTTTGGCATTAATTTCTTATCAGCAAAACTCCAGAGACAATTATCTATTTTAATCTAGGATCACCCTTCATCATTGATGTGCATAGAACCAAATTGGGGAGGGAGCTAACTGATCTAGGCATCAGTAGAAGTTGCCAAGCAGTTTCTATAAAGTAGCAGTGATCACTTTAGTCAGTGTAAAATCCAACATTTGTAAAAAATTAACTAGTTTGTGTTTATTGAGAACACCAGTGGAATATTCTCTGGCCACTCAAGTCCCCAAAATATAAGCCCGGGATGGTGAACCTATGGCATATGTGGCATGCAGAGTCTTCTCTGTGGGCATACGTACCATCACCAGCTGCTCTTCTGGTTTTCTGGTACTCACAGGTGCCAGAGCGCCAGAAAATGGCCTGAAAATGGCCCAGAAAACGGCCAAAAAANCTACTGAAAAGGCTCTCCTCCGCGTAGTTGCCAGTCGACACTGACTGGCAGATGGAACTCTAATTGAGATGTACCTTCAAAAATGCATCTTTAAAAAGTTCATTGAAGCCCTTCTTGAGTAGCGAGCTGTATCAATGCATTGGGGAAGCACAAAGGTCAACAGATAACTCAATTCCAGTTGACATATCAGCCTGAGAGCTATAAAACGGATGATCTGACATTGGAATGTATCAAAGGCCAAATGCCTTAAAGAACTCGGAACTTGGATAATTCAGACCCACATAATTACTGAGTCATTCGTGTGCCAGTCCTCAAGCTAACATCAATAATTTGAGAAACAACGCTGCCACAGTGTTTACTGATTGTTACGTGGGGTAGATATGTTAGTGATCATGTTTTATATCCTTGAGTATGTCAAATTAACTAACTATCCCAGCAGCTACTTTCATAACATTTTATTATTTTACTAGCTGGATACCCATGCTCCGCTATGATCAGCCTTGATAAATTGACACTTACAGTTTGAAAATTGATGAGAAGTTATGATCGGCCTCTTCTCTCCCCTTTTCTCCCTCAGGCTGGCCCCACGGAAGCCTCTCCTATCTTATCTCCTTCTCTCCCTCAGTCTAACTCCTTAGCATCAGAGGTGGGGAGGGGGAGTAGAATGTCTAAACTCCCAGCCCTCAGGCCAGATGAGTCATGTGCTGGCCATACCCACGCCCAAGTGGCAGTTGGAACAGAATTCTTTTCATGTGGGGAGGGAGAGTAGAACATCTAACTCCTTAGCCTCAGAGTGTGTTAATAATAATATAAGAAATACTCATGATCTGCTGGTCATTTGGAAAAATCTTTTCTTAGTGTGCACCTAGAAGCCAGGATGAACATACGTGCTAAATTTCAGGTTTGTAGGCTTTACAGTTCTGGAGATTTTGTGATGATATGTGAGTGGTATTTTGCTTTTATATATATAGATTTTATGTTATTATTACAAGTTTATATGGCTGCTCAACTCATACATGGGTGATGCTGGGTGGCTTATATAATTTCATTTTATCCTGATAGCAGTCTTCCAATATCTGAGGGGCTGCCACAAAGAAGAGGGGGGGTCAAGCTATTCTCCAAAGCACCTGAGGGCAGTACAAGAAGCAATGGGTGGAAACTAATCAAGGACAGAATCAACTTAGAACTAAGGAGAAATTTCTAAGAAGAAATAACATTGTGAGGGCTATGGAGAGGATGCACAAAAGTTTTGTAACCAAAGATAAACAATTTTATACAGAATATAATATAAAGATGTACTACTATTGGATGGTTTTAGGATGATGTAATGAAATGCCATAATATAAATTTATTCTAAATTTAGACCATCTCACATAAAAGGAAGTAATAATAGTTACTAAACAGTTGTTAAACATTTATAGTCAAATAAATGTTTAACAACGACAATAATTGTATACATATGTATTAGATTAATAATATGAGATTCTATATAAATTGTAAGTGAAGACTACGGTGAGGAAGCACAAACGTTTTGTAACCAATCGACATACTGTAGGTAACTGGAAGATGGTTTTATGCTAGTCTGTGTTTGTTTGTTTAAAAATAAAATAAATAAATATTTTTTTTAAAAAAAAGAATAGCTTTGTTGGATATATCATATTGGCACGGCCCTGGTGAAAACTCACTCTGAAGGGTCAATCACATGGTCTGATCAGGTAACATCACTCCTCCTCTCTCTCTCTCTGACCATGTGTGAGAAAGTCCTTGGTTCCCAAGAGAGCCTTCTGTTTTGGCTACAAAACCCCAGCTTTCTCTATTTCCCCACCCCACCCCACCCCATGCCTAGCCCTCAGCTCCAATGTGGCAACACTGAAGCAGCAAAATGGCTTTGTTCAGGTCAGCTTCAGGGTTGACAATATGTGGGTATATACATAATTTCGGATTTATTTATTTTGTCATGTTTATGTAGTGTTTATTGGAAGTGGTGACCCTTTGAGAGGTGTAGGCAACAAAATTTCATTTTAATGTATGCAGATTATTGTACATTAAAAGTGACAATAAAGTTATTATTCTATTCTATTCCTCTGCATTCCTATTCTATTTTGCATTTCTGTTCTGTTCTGTTCTACTCTGTTCTGTATTCCTAATCTATTCTGCATTTCTCTTCTGTTCTGTTCTACTCTATTCTGCATTCCTCTTCTATTCTGTATTTCTATTCTGTTCCATTCTGTTCTGTTCTACTCTACTCTATTCTGTATTCCTAATCTATTCCGCATTTCTCTTCTGTTCTGTTCTATTCTATTCTATTCTGCATTCCTATTCTATTCTGTATTTCTATTCTGTTCTATTCTGTTCTGTTCTACTCTACTCTATTCTGTATTCCTAATCTATTCCGCATTTCTCTTCTGTTCTGTTCTATTCTATTCTATTCTGCATTCCTATTCTATTCTGTATTTCTATTCTGTTCTATTCTGTTCTGTTCTACTCTACTCTCTAAGTAGCCTTTAATACCATTAACCATGGTTGATGTGTACACTCTGGTCGGACTGAACCTCAAGGAAAGCGTTTTTTATTTCAATTAGTTTTCAATTTCAATCAATTTTCAATTTTCAAACTCATTTGATTAACCTCCATGTGAATAATGCTATGAGTCCCTAAAAGGCAAAGAGATAAAAAACACTTTCCTTCACTCCATACTCTCTAGCATTAAAATCCCCTTTTTTCCACTTTTGTTTTTCTTTTTATCTCTGTAGATTTCTCTGTTCCCTTCTTGCCACAAAGACTGGACTGACTGTGGGTTTAGGAAGAGCCTTCTATTTTCTTGCTGTTTTTTTTTCCAGAATGATTCATTCAGCCTAGCTTTTA